CGGCGCCGCCCGCGCGCTCCGAGGTGCCTCCGTCCGCGGCGGCCGAGGCGCACGACGCGCTGCGGCGCTCGAGGCCCGCGGGCGACCCGCAGCCCGCGGCGGGGCCACCGGGCGTCGACGCGAGCGGCACGGGGCCTGGCAGGTGAAGGGAGGCGGGCGGAGCTCAGGCAGAGGAGGGGCGGGAAGGCAGGAGCCTCCACGTCGCGGCTTCGCTGGCCCCCGAGGCCCGCGTGGCTGGGCCACCGCTCACGGATGGGGAGCTGGGGACCTTCCCCACTCACCTGGAGCCGCCTGCGGCCCGGGGCTTCAGCCCCGGGTTCCCAAACTAAGCCACGTCAGCTCGGGATTCCCGTAGCGACACCTACCACCGCCAAGTCTTGCCCAGCTAGGGGCTAAACCCTCCGCAGTCAGGGCGGAAGGTGGGCATTGAAATACTGACCAATCAGAGCGAGCCACAGGGCGTTCCCATGGAGACCAGGCACGCCTTGTTGGTAACTTTGCTGACGTCAACCTAACATCAGCCAATGAACGGCTGGAAAGGTTGATGTCAACCTAACGTCAGCCAATGAACCAGCCACTGGACTCTAAGGAGTCCCAAAGGGGGCGAGGCCATAAAGGAGTAAGAGTTCCGGGAGAGCGGGGAGGGGCCGGAAGGGCCGAGAGGACGGGCGTTGTGGGAAAGGTCAGGTGTGTCCGGTGGGACCCAGGATGCTGGTATCCTCCAGTTACTGGGCGGCTACTATGGCTGCGGAGTCGTTGGGCTGCGGGCAGCCACTGAATGAACTCTGAGCAGAGTGAAAATGAGTTTTGCTGCTAGAATGATAAAATTTTAAAACCAGAAAGAACATTTTTATGGCGACTAGTGTAACTTTTAAATTTTACCGATGAAAAGTGAGAAGCAGAGAAGTGACCCAAATCCAAAGTTATATTGTATATTTAAAAATACATTTTAAAAAAAGTTAATACTGAGTTTTACTATGTTCCCGACATTCAGCTATCCCGTTATGTGCTTCCTCATCTTGTTATACTGCTTTGAGCATCTGCTCCATCAAGACATTCTTGGTCATTTACCGTGACAGCACTCCCTATGCCCTTACTCTATTTTTTCCCTAACCATTTTTTCCTCCAACATACTATGTATTTGTCTATATTCTCTTGTCCTCACTATAATAGTTTCAATAATAGAACAACCATTGTTGATTGGAAAACCAATTTCTTCTGTAAACCTTCAACCAAATAACAATTGAATTTTAAAAATAAATACTTCCTAGTTCTGTCCACTGAAAAGGCAGAAAAGTGATGACAACCCAGTACTTCATGCGCACACCTAATACCCATTTCTTGGTCACTAAATACTAAAGAAAACCCACTGCCATTGAGTTGATTCTGACTCACACGACCCTCTAGGACAGGGTAGAACTGCCCCTGTGGGTTTCGGAGACTCTAACACTTTACAGTGTTAGCAAGACCCTTCTTTCTCTCTCAGAGCAGCTGGTTTCAAACTGCTGACCTTGTGGTTAGCAGCCCAATGAGTGACCGCTACGCCGCTATGCCACATTACGAACAAAAAAGAGTTCCTTAAGGAAATGGCTGGGTTCAGGTCTGGGACAGGGAAAGAACAAGATGGGCCTAAATATGATGGTTCCCAAAACTAATGTCTTCTTTGTTGGCAGTCCCAAGGCATTCTTTTGTTTCTTGGTAGTTCTCCTATGGCATGGAATGTTCATGTGTCTGATCTGTTCTGTGATCACTCAGAAAGAATTGGGATGCACCCTGCACTGATATGACCTCCATTGACTGGTTACAATGTAGAAGGTGCTTAGACTGTCGTATGTTACAAACTCAAACTCACTGCCACCGAGTCAGTGACAGCAGACCTGTGGGTTTCTGAGACTGTAAATCCTCCCCCCACTGCCCTGCCCTCTTTTCTCCTGTCAGATGGGTAATCGAGTAATGTGCCCGTGTGGAAACAACATTCAAGGGAGGTAACATCATCCAAGAGCATGACAACCCAATCATCATGCTTATGAACCAGGAAAGTATCTGAGACTCTGAATCCCTATGGGTGGGAGTAGAAAGTCTCATCTTTCTCCCGCAGAGCTGGTGGCTTCCAAATGCTGACTTTGCAGTTAGCCCAACATGTAGTGCAGGACACCAGCAGGGCTCCTCCGCATGACATTATGTGAGTGTTGTATGCAGTGCTTCATTCCGTTATACATAGGGCCTCTATGAGTCGGAACTGTCCACAGCGCCTAAAGCCTCCACAGCCACATTCCATTATCTTGTTATTCAGTGGATTCCACCATAGTAATAGAGGGGAAGTGCCCCATAGAGTTTACTTGGCTGCAATCTGTACAGAAGTTAATTGTCAGGTGTTTTTCCTTCAAAGTGGCTGAGTGGGTTTGAACCATTAAACTAGTTAGCAACTGAAAGCTTAACTATTGCATCACAAGGACTCCTTGGATCCAATTATGAAGGCAATCAGTTCTACACAAGGCCAATTAATTCAATCATGATTGTGTCATAACAGTCAGGATTTAGTACATGTTTTGGGACAACACAATTCAATCCTTCAAATAGCCATGAAATGAACATTTATAATAACAAGGATTCTCAAATTAGAGTGTTAAGCGAACAGTATAATATTATATACACAGCATGAAATCAAGGGAGGGAGTCAAGCAGAGCTGGGAAGGGAAAGCAGGACAAAACTAGTGGGCAAACATGGTGTCATTGTAGCAAGACTACTGAAACAATTGCCCAGCGAAAGCCACAGAACCACAACTCTTCTTGGGCCTGACATAAGCCAAGGCTTGCAATATCTTTTATTGCAAGCTCTCCAACAACCCGTTGCTCTCCGAAAGCAACAGAATGCTCCCGCATATTATTTCAGAGTTGAGGATCCAGCAGACTGCATCAGTAGCTGAAATTGCTCTGTTAACGTGAGCTAGCCCCTGGATGAATTACTTCTTCACTCCAGGCACTGTTTCTCGTGACCTGCAGAGGCTCTGCGGTCCTTCACCCAAGTCGGCTTGACTAGCACAACAGCTCTTTTCCATCCTCTGCCATCTACGCATGTCTTAGATGCGTCCAGAAAACTCAGCCCTCTGATATCTCACTGTGCCAAATTTTGGCCAGTGCCAGCCCAAGACCACAGCCCATGTGCCTCCTTCATCTGGCTTGCCCCCCGTCTAGTATGGGCTCGTGAATAACCTCTGATGGCCCACTGCTCCTTTATAGGCACTGAGGCACCTTTAGGGCTTCAGAAATGCCCAGGGGTGAGCTGTTGCAGGCCTCGCAAGATGCACAGTTCCAGGGTTTCTGTCAGAAGACGTAAATAGGAAAAGAACAGGAGAGAGGAAGGTCAGATATACCCCTTGATTTCAAAGCTGAAAACAACAGGAGACCATGACAGGGAAACAGTTGTGTAGATAAGAAAGGGTATTGGGTGAGGACCTTGGGTAGAAATGAGTCTCGGTGAGAATGGGAAGGTGTTGGGGTGGTATTGTGCTCCCCTAAAAGGTATATTTAAGTCCT